TATAGTATTAAAGGAGCTCTGGTAGCGTAGTCGTTATGAATTGGGCCGCAAACCTCAAGGTTGGCAGTTCGAAACCACCAGCTGTTCCTCAGGAGAAAGATGGGGCATTCTGCTCCTGCAAAGATTTACAGCCTCGAAAACCCTGTACATGGTCGCTATGAGTTGGAACCGACTCCACAGCACACAACAACAGCAACAACTATTATCTTGTCATAATGAAGTTTTACGTTTCATGACAGTGCAGCTATATACTACTTTTTCCAGACTTTTAGATGACCACTATGCAACATACCTTAAATCTTTACTGTATGGAATGATATACTCACTTTTCCAGCAGCACATTCAGTCCCATCCAGTGGGGGTCCCTTTTTAGTCTTACAGAAGTAGGGATTATCAGGATGACTACACCACAGCTGTTTACAGGGGTCAAAGGTTCGGAACTGGAAGAGAGAAACAAACTGTCACTTAAACACTGATAGCATTATGTGCACAATATAGTCCATAGAGTTATCTTCATGTCATGTTTGTTAAGTTTTTCATTTCATGTTAATAATCAAAGTTATAGCAGGTTAAGAGAAAGTACTGCATACGAATGTCAAGTAGAGAGCATTTTTATTTTGCTTTTCTAAATTAACAATGATAAACAATGGCTTGTCTCGGATACTGTAGTTATTTGACTTTTATGATTTCTGTATGCCAGCTCTACAATGTAACTCAGAAAGTATTGCCACTAGGGTTCTGGTTCATATATGCATGGGTTCATTCTAAATAAAACATATTTAAAGATATTTCTATAATCAGTGTAAGACTACTGTTATGATCAGAGGAAGGCTACAGATGAGTTCGCTCAGTAAACTTGCCTTAGATAAGTTACAGGATCTTCAAATGTAAGATTCAATCAAAACAGTGGCTTCTGAGGGGATCTGTAGGGCCAATTATATTTAAGGCAGAGATGGTAGCTCACAGGTTATAGAGACTGATTTATTGGGATTCTGGTATAGCGCTGAAAGATAAGCACTGGACTGCTTACCTCAAAGTCGGTAGTTCAAATGCACCAGTCACTCCTTAAAATCTTTTTTCAGAACTGAATCGGTGGCATGTAACAACAACAAAAAATGAATCTTGATATATAAAGCACACAGAATGATCACTGGTATGGCTAATTAGGAAGATGTTTTAGGAAAATTGAAAACTGCATTTTCAAATGAGTCCCTCAGGGATGCCGAAAAGACATTCTCACAAGGTATGAATCGAAGAGTGCAGAACTCTTTTGGGAAGAGTCAGAAATATGGAAACACAACCTTCAGAAGTGTGAAG